CATGACTGAGTAAGAGAAATTATTGGTATAACCGGTGTATAACATCGCGAAGAAAGTTATGTCACGTCGTAACTTTGATGATCGTTTGGAAGTGTTATTTGTTCGTTCATTTACTGTAAATGTAAACGTTAGAAGCTGATGGTCGGAATAATAACCAGCATTCCGCCAAATAATTACGTGGTCGATTTTTTGAAGGAGAATTTTGTAGTAAATAAGATCATGAAAGTCTTGAACATAATCCTGGCTGGAACGTTTCAGATGAGTTTCATTTAACCTTTTACAATTTATTTGTTTCTTTTTAGTCTGCAGCATTTGCATTTCGAGAATGTTTCATTTTTAAATTCAAACTCTTCTAAGTTGTGAAACGTAATTTTTTGACTCCAAAAAAAAAATATTTCCTGTGACGGAGCTCATTAATGTTACAAAAGTGCCCAAAATAAAAGTGTTTATAACACTGTGTAAAGCAAATAAACATCTGCCACTTTGTTTTTGAAAATATATGTTGTTTATTGTGTGGATGTAAATGTGCTTTGGTCAATTTCTATTATTACGTAAATGATATGCAAATTAGGCCGCCACAGTGGTTTAAAATCCTGGGGAGAATAATGTACAACTTCCTGTTTACAAACTTGTATGTGTGAAGGGATTCCCACTCTTATCTCTATGGTACTTTTCTTGAAAAGTTTGTGTTGTTGTAGATGAACTGATTGATACTTACATATATCATTCAGGGATTGAAACTAAATTAAGTAAGTTATTCACTTGTGAAACACAGCATGACCAGATTGTGCTTTCGACAGTGTGATCATTTGCATTTGTGTTTATTTGAAACTTCTTTTAGACCATCCTTTGCATAACCAACAAAAATAAAAGTAAATTCATTTTATGTTAAATATTGAGTAATGTTTTTAATGATTGACTGTAATTTTTTCAACATTTCATGCCACCAAATTAAGGCTTTTCACTCCTCCCTGGCGTCTAAATTAGAAATTTTATGGTACAGTTTCATTTATCACTAAAGCTTTTTGTATTACATATGTAGAAATAACCATGACCTAAATATTAAACATCACAACCGAACAAACGCAAAACAAGGTACACATTGTAGTATTCTAATAGTGGTTTTTTGTTTTTATTATTATGATTAAGCACAATGTATTTTTTCTGTTTTTCATCATCTTTCTGACTTTGTTAAGAGAAATATTGAAGTTTGGTTTGTCATTTGTAAATCTTATTGCATACATGTACTAGTATAATAGAAATTTGGTTAGCAGTATCCACTAATTTGAGGTATAATTTTCAGAATTGTGGCATCTCACTACATTCTCACAGCAAGATTCCTGTTAGTGAAGCCCTGCTTTTATAGAATTTGATTTTTGCATAATTGCAACAAATTATAACATCACATGAATGATGATTATGACATCACAGTTACTGATTATGACATTATTGCTAATTAAGTAGCCATTAGAAAATCGAAAAAAAATATGTTTATTTTGTGAAAAATAGTATCATGTTTATTTTGTGAAGGCAAGAAAAATTTATTTTGTTTTTATTTTTGTAAAATGAATGTTTGGTTGTAGTTGAAAAGTTGAGCACATCACTGTGTTAACTCGTGTTCTCTTATTACAATATAATTATGTGCATTCATTAATTTCCTGGCAATTGCTTAGTGAGTCAATATTGTTGCTCAGCAACAAAACGTAATAATCAGTCGTTGGTTACATAATACTGTACATCATATTTCCGTTAATTTGAGATGCAGTTGTTTCAGCTTAAAAGTCCATTTTTATCTCCGCTGTCATTGAGATGACCAGGCTTTTTATGTACTAGTAGGTGATTGTCCTTCCTGCTTTTGCATACCCTGTCAGATTTCTGCATTTTTAGCAAATATTTACCCATTTTTTATTTCCACTATCAGGACCTTTGATAATTCTCACAAATTATCAGTGGGAATTGGGATTATCATCATTTTAAACTGTTTTATTTCATAATTCTACCACGTCGAAAAATATCAGTGGTGAGGATAAAATCAAGTGTAGATAAGGAGCGAGAAAGTGGCAGTTTCTAGCTCTAGTATAAATTTTCTTGCAATTCATACTTTTCAGTATAGCAATAATCTACGGGCAATCTTCCAGTACATTATATTCTGCCCACCAATTCATAAACCATTAATAGAAAATTTTTAGTCCCTGCCTGAAAAGGGGGGAGTATAGTTTCTTATTTCCAGTTTCCGTCCGTGATATTCTGCAGCAGATATCGATGAAACTTGGCAGGTTGATTAACAAGTTACTATTGAATATGTAAATAATTTTTTTTTCCAGATCTGAAAATCCTAAGTGGGTCTTTTTCACGACATTATAAATTACCTCTCCCAACAATCCTGAAAGAATAACTGAGCATGCTCAGAATAAATAATTGAGTTAAATGGTAATGCTAGGGTTTTCAGTGACGTCATGACCTTGATCTGAATCAGTGACAGAAATGGACCACAGTCTGGTTTTTAGCTCCGCTGTTGTTTTTGTCGAGTGGAGCTTATCATATGAGTGATTGACGTTGCCCGTCGGCGTCCGTGTCAATGTTTTACTTTTCCGACTTCTTCTTGAAAACTACAAGTCTGAATGCTTTGATGCTTGGTGTATATGCACCTTGGGTGAACCTCTCTTAGATTTGTTCATTTCATGATGATATCTTCAATTCTCTAA